AAAGAAATCTCGTAGAGAATAGTGTCAGAAGGACTAACACTCAGCAGACCCACTGTTAAATGTGCACAGGTGTCGGGGCCATGAGTTCAGACTCTGCCTTAATTCAAAATGGCGTCTAAAAGCAAAGATGTTGATGAAGAACCGTAAATAAACGTAGCTAGTATTTAACTCGACACTCTCAGTGGGTCTCACAGTGTGTGAAGGTCAACGACAGCACTGAGATCAAAATGTATTATTTGCGATGGACGAGTGTCTGTGATATTAAAAAAAACATTTCCTCTTTGTAAATATAAAGTAGTTGATTTATGAGAACTCTTTACTGAAATAAACGACCAATATGACTGTGTGCGGCAATTTGTCCTCATAGTAAAAGCACAACATTTGTTTTTGTTGCAGCAATGCTTTTTATATGCTGAGTTACAAAGCTTTTATTTTGAAAAGCTGGGAGTTTGGGTGTGATGATTTTGTTGAAATGGCCGACATGAGACGTTTAAAAAGATAACAGCGCTTCTTTGAGTGATTCAAACTTACATATAAGCCACATACGTGATATGTAATAAAGCAAATTCACTTTCATTTCAGGAAAAACAGGTGTGAACGCACAATTTTCTTTAAAAGCTCTGCTCACGATGTCAAGCACATAAACAATAAAAGGTGACAGGATGTTGTAGAGGTGTTTGAGGAGGACTCACTAATGATAAGGAATCATTCTGAATAGAGCCTCAACACAGGACGAGATCTAAGATATTAAATTCAAAAACACACTCAGATGGTTCTTCTGTCCCAGGAAATGCAGAGATACTTAAAGTTTCTGCATAAGGCCTCAATGTCACGTTCTGCACAATCAACAAAAAAAGGAGAAGATACAAAATCAGATAGACCGAAATTCTCATCAACACCTGGAATTTTATACGTACATCTTTTTATTTTCCTGTTCCGTGTAGCTGGTGAACCCGTGTACCCCCCCCCCCCTCCAGCAGCGGATCCTCCGTGATCGTGCAGATGAGGACGTTTCATCCCTGAAAATCACGAGCCCTGTAATATCTTCACGGACCATCAGTTCACTGAGGCTAACTTCCAGGTTCTATCGGCTCGAGTCAAACAAGCATGTGGCACAAATCGTCCACGCTGGACCGCGATTACTAACAACATTCAGTTTTTTTGGGAAAAAGATGCATTTTCAGACTCCGAGATAAACGAGGAGCTCGTTGTTGCACTAACGAGGTACTTTGTGTTGTTCCCAGGGTGACTTCGTGTTTCCAGCCCGAGATTTGTCCCCTTTTGATCCGTGTGGTGCCTGAATTTGTACCAACATTCTGAACTGAGTGTACAACATCATCAGACCATGACCTTGACATCTTTGTTGTATTTTAGGTTTATCTGATCTGAGCGCTGGTGGAAGGTGGAATGAGTCACACGTTCACAGTGAGGAGCAGCAGGTGCAAACAGTTAACGGCTGAGCGGTACGGTACAGATGTTCACCAGTTCAAAAGAATTACTGTGGCAAATATATATATATATACATATAGTATGTTTACTATGTATACTATTTTGTTGGATTGAGTGATCGCTTAGCTATTCTGAGTAAAATTCAGCTCAGAAACTTTATCAACATTTTGCAACACTAATATATATATATATTTATACACATTTTGGCGTATATATATATATTCCCTATCATAGCTATGTCCTCGTTACTTATACTTTATGTCCACACCATATGCAAGGAGCCCTTCAACCTAGATGACCATGACCACAGATTGTTTTTTAAAGACAGCCCCCCAAGCAGAATAGGTCATAGAAGCTACCTCCTCCATGTTAGAGGATGTGAAACAACTAAAATTGAGATTTTAGTTTCTGAGTTTGTGTTCGTGTTTATTTCACCCATGTGAATCCTTCCTGGCCCAACATATCCCATGATGCATTGTGCTTCAGTGTTACGTAAGAAGTTCTCCTCTGCACATTATGAGTACTACTCAAAGACGGATGTTTGTCTCACACGACCTCTAGACTTCACTAGGTGATCAATTCTAACGATGGGTGATTAGCTGTTTGCCACTGTGACCGTACAGGTGGGGTTTTATGAGCCAGCAGTTAAAAGGGAGAAGATGTTTTCAGTTAACACTTTTTGTCTGGTTGGTCTTTGCACAACTGTGATTTGTGAACGTGAGCTATACAAATAAAATCCGACCTGATTTGAGCTGATATAAAAGTTGAATTTCTGAATGTGTTGCCCATCAACACAATATGGACTCCACGAGGTTTCTGAAAACCGAATGACCTGAGTTATATCATAGCATTTTCTGACAGGGTTCCAAATACTCTGCTTTCCCCTTTTTTCAAGTGCCTCATTGAAGTTTAATGGGGTCGAGGTCAGATCACCTTCGAGGAAAGTCCACGATCAGACCTCCTTAGTCCTCTTTGGTCTTCAAACAGTTAGTGCAAAGCTTTGAGTTGAGTTTAGGATCATTATCTCGCTTCGGTAGGAATCGTTCTCCTCAAAGATGCAAACCAGAGTGAACAGCATGTAAATGAAAAATGGAATCGTACCTCTCTGGGTCAAGGTGCAGTCAATTTGGTGCAGGTGTCCGACTCCAGTGGAGGAAAAACACCCTCAGACGTGAATATTCCCACCGCCGTGTTTCATCGTCTGTTTGATACACTGCAGAATCAATCTTTCCCGTAACATTCGCCCGGCCGTCTCTGCCATAAATCTCAAATCTTGGATCCATCAGTAAGTAGCAGTCATCCACTGTGAAATGCTGGTGTTAGGAGGTGGTAGCCTGGTTTCCCACTCCGGAGAAGTGGCTCAGAAACTGCTGCTCGTCCTCTCAGACCAATACATTGACTACATTTCTAATTAAGCAGAATGTGTGTATGTGAGGACGCTGCTCTTCTGTCTCTCAGGGACATGAACTCATATTGATCTCGGTCGCTTTGTTCTGACCGATCGTGCTTCGGATACAATCGACCCAGTTTCTGCAAAGTGTTGAGAGCTCTCTGCTCTGCCCTCTTGGAAAAACTCGATCTCTCCAGGATTTGACATTAAATCGATCCGTCTTTGCTTGAAATAACAATATGACACGTTCACTTGAATCCAGTTTTCTGACTGTAGTGATACTCAGTAAGCAATGATCCGCTTTTTATTATATAGCCAAGAAAATCTGACTTTTATAACCACTTAATTATATTATTATGAACAACAAAAACTAAAATAGGAATTATTATTATTATTGTTTAACAGTCTGAGGTATCGATATGTTTATTTTTTTATTTATTATCTCATGTGTGAAATCCACGCTGATCGGCCTCGGATATTGATTTTCGGGTTGAGCGCATTGAGGACCGAGGTTTGCGTGTGAAGTAGTAAAAATAATTTAATAATTCACGTATTCAGACAAACCTCTAGATTTTTATTCATGAAAGATGTAAATATAAATGTTCTGAGTATGATCTGCGATCACAAAAGTCCTCAGACATCGGTCGCAACATCCACCTCTTTTTATTTGGATTATTTACATGTGTTGTAAAGGCCTCGGTGCAGACGGAGGAGTCAGCATCATCCCCTTCATCGTACAGGAGGTCGTCAAAATCACAGCAAAGCCTATTCATTACATCAGCATGTAGAAACTGGACGGGGACAAGAGGAGGAAACGGTGAAAAGAGGGTGAGAAACAGGAGGAGGAGAGGAGAGAAAGAGAGAGAGAAAGAGAGAGAGCACATGTCCCCTGAAGATACAGTGGTTTATAAAAGAGTCACCGATTGAAAAGAAAAAGTATTTGAAAAGTTGAAAAGTCATCATGTCGTGGTCCAACACACAGTTTCAGGATGTAGATCACCTTTACAAAAAAGTGATGCTTTACTGATTATTCACGAGATTATAACAAGTATATACAAGCAACAGTACAAATAACAGTGAAGCCTGTGTAAAGGTGAACTTCATAAACAAACCCAGTGACGAGATCAACTAAAGCCAGAGGAGGCGAAACAGAGCAGAGGGAGAATGATCTCAGATTAAAGTTTGTTTTTTTGATGTCAAATCAGGAGAAAACCGTCAGATTTACTCGCTGATTTCATCTGAAACGTTTTGAGAAAATCTCTGTGAGACTTGAGGTGAGCACATTTATGTTTTCAGATCAAACTGAAATCTGTAATTTGTCTTTTTCTGTCGCGGGTTCTCTCATTCCAAACAAAAAAAAACAGGCCGAATTCGGGAGCTTAAATTATCCGCAGAGTTTTCCTGATCTCAAGATAAATGGATCCAGTGCCGAGAACGTTTGGGAACATGTAAAAATAGAATTTGAATGTAGAGAACATATTATACCTCTTGATCAATGTGCTTCCCAATCTCTCACAAAGCAAAGAATAGAAAGAGAAACAGAAGAACAGAGAACATTGATCGAGATCTGTATAAATAACTTCACCTCCTTCTCCAGGAGGAGGAGAGGTGGAAACAAGAGTCAAAGAATAAAACAAAGTGATGAAAGTTTTTGGCCTAAAGAAGAAACTAAAGACGACCAAGAAAAGCCAGAGAGGAAGAGCAACGGAAGAAACAAAAGTCTAACCTGAATGGAAAAAAGGAAAAATTGGACGACGGAGTAAAGAGATAAATAAAATGAAAGAGGGGAAACAGGCTGAGAGACGAAGAGAGATGAACAGATGTTGGTCATAAAGTAAAGGTGTCAGAAAGAGAGAGAAGCAGGTAAATAAAGGGAGGATGAAGAAGAGAGAGGGAGGACGTGAAGACACAAAGACAAGTTCAGAGACAGATTCACTTCATCAGCAGCAACAGAACTGTTTCATCTCTTCACTTTTACCTTTATAAAACTGTATTTACATCAGACTGCATGTTGTGGGTTGTTTAACTTGTTTGTCAGAGTGGGTGAAACTTCATATGTGACGGATCAGTGTCGTGTTATTCAACTGTCTGGTTTTAAAAAAACATCTTGTTTGATTTATCAGATCTAATATGTGAATTTAATGCCATAGATCTCCTCAAACCTTTTTTTTATAAGGCCCCGGCTCCAATTTTAAGAAAATCATTTATTGTAAGTGTTGAAGATTTTACAATGTGATTATTGTTTGTTAATGATCTGATAATTAACACCTACAGTCGTGAAAACGACGCTGTAAAAACAGGTTGTGTCATTAACAATCTGTCTCGATGGTATTCTGTGGGTTAATATGCTGCTTGAGATCTGGGGATGAATTCAATATCATCACAGATGCATCAGATTTAAGTGAAATGCTTTTCGTGGCGACTGAAGCTCAACTTTAAGGCACGTTTTATATTTTTATTTTACATTTTTTTATTCGATGCATGTTCCAGATTTTAATTTCAAAAGAATTTGCCATGAAAAATTTTTTTTTTTTTAAATCGATGTCCTGCTCTGCCTCGGTTTGTTGCTTTACGTCGTGCGAAGCAGCCGACGACGCTCTGATGAGCTTCGGCTCGTGAGTTTAAACTTGGTCAGATTAAGATGCATGTTGGCAGCAGCCTGCTGTTTAACTGTCTCCCTGTGGCTCCGAGTGTCTCCTCCACTTTGTGTTTTTCCCTGTGCGTGTGCGTGCGTGTGTGTGTGTGTGTGTGTGTGTGTGCACGGGTGTTAGTATGTATAACTCATCCCTTTATGATGTGTTCTGTCAATACCCTGCTGTTTTAGTATCTTCCTGTTGCTCTGATAAAGTGTCAGGTCCGTCTCTGCAGGTGTGTGTGTGTGTGTGTGTGCGTGTGTGTGTGTGTGTGTGTGTGAGTGTGTGTGAGTGTGTGTGTGTAGGTGGTTGACATAGGACACGTTGACAGGTCCTCGCAAACTTCAAAAGCGTGTTTGAGGGTAAGCGGGTCGGGAATGTAATTCGTCAATGACCGTCCTCACGAGTGAAGTGAGACAAGTGTGTGTGGAGGAAAAAGTGAGTGAGTGTGAGTGTAACGGTCGAGCTCCCTGCTGTTTGATGGCGTTTCTGTTTCCTTATGCTTCTCTCTCTCTCCTGCTCTCTCTCTCCTTCTCTCTCTCGCTCTCTCTCCTTCTCCGTGCGACTCGTCCTCCACAGGCCTCACTACCTGAAACAGAAATCACAATGACATTCGAGGGATAGCTTCACTTTCTCGGTGAACCGTCCCTTTAAGCTCTCACACACGTAGGTTTCATGTTTTAAAAAATAAAAAGAATCATTAGGACTTAACGCTCAGTAACTTCCTCACACAGTGAACGGGGGTTTCAGACACACGGGTGTTTTTCTGAAATGTTAACTTGATCTGATCCTTCACGTCAAACCTCAGCTGGAGTTGATTCAGCCGAGTTTTTACACCGTGTTCAATTTGTTATTGGCCTGAAGAGCTCGGAGCTGGTGTGAGGGGCTGAACTGCACTCAAGCTCAAAACGAGTATTGATATTTCATCGCACTTTGGACCAAAGCTCTTCTTTAAAGACTTTCAAGCAACTGCAGCACTGACATGTGCTTCACGTTACCACTGTGCCCTGTCGCTTTCCCTTTTGTTGAACCTTCACAAAGCTCCGGCTTCTCTCGGGCTTTTCACCATTTGATCCTGCCTCGTGTTTTTTATACCAAGGGTCATTACGGCCAATGGATTTCTAATAGTATGTTTATCACTGCATCTGTAAGACAAACACTGGCAGGCATCCTTACACAGTATCTCAATTTAAAATCCATCTTTATCTTTTACCTTATGATCATATTTATACTCTTTCTTCAATATTCAAGTAATATGGTGATCACTGTTTACGTCCATGGCGTAAACAGGAACTGCAGAATATCTATCAAAATATCTCTATATCTATAAAGATCTATACATAGAGAGATATACACCTGTAAGCTCTAATTAGAGGAGCCTGGAGCTGCTGAATACCTCCTGTACATTTGAAGTTCTTCTGCACTTAATCACTAAACCCTGCCCTGGTCTGAACCACTGCTCCAGAGCAGCACTTGCGTCAGAGGCCTTGCTCAAGGGCACCGCAGTGGTAATGCTGTGGCTAATCGCTGTTTCAACCCACGTAATCCAGTGACATCGTCAGAACGCAAACCAAACAGGCGGCAGCGGGAACAACCCTTCTGATTTCACGTGAATTAAATAAACCACAGTCTCAACCTGAACAGAAACATGTCTTATTTCTACAAAGGCTCAAGTTTTCACACATTCTCGTGAAAAAGCGAAACTGTTTGTGCAGTTCCTGGTATTATCCGAAAATCCAACCGTGACATTGAAGCGTATCCTTCACGTTATATTTTGTTCCCGACACATAATCTCTCAATTCACAAACCGCTGCAGGGCCCTTTTCTTTCTGGAGAGACCTCGAATGAAAAGCAGACCGTCTGCTGTGCGGGGATTTGAACATCAAGTCCACGGTTTCAGGGTCGACGAGTCACAAAGAGGGAAATTCAGAGAAGGTAGGTGACGACTGAGGGAGACAGCACCGTACGTCAGTTTTCTAAAAATGAAAGTAAAGCTGGCTGATTCAAGTATTTTCAGAATACACCTTTTTATTGTTAGACGTAGACTCTGCACGCGCGACCAAATTGTGAAACGATGTTATTGATGCTCCTCCACAAACCACAGGTCGCTGTGATGTCAACATTTAGTAAAGAAAATACAAACGTAGTACTTAGACATCTTACTTCTTCAATTATTTCCATCCATCCCTCCACGGATGAAATATATTTCACACAGATGTATTTGCTGCGGTCCGTCTGACACGATCTACTTTAATGTGGTAAATTGTAAAATGTAAATGAAACAGTGACGACTCATCTGTGGTCGGTCACATCTGAGTCTTCTGCTCCGTCACGTACTGTACATGCTTCATTCAGACCACATCTTGTTATTGAAACAAGAACCATATTTTAAAGTTTATTAAGAAATGAGCTTCAATAAAATTGAAACCTTCACATTGAGTGCCATAAAAGACAATCATGTCAAATACCTGGCAACCAACCAGACTCTGAGTTTCACATGAATAAGTTTAATAAGCTATTAGTCGTATTTTAGAATACCACACGTTAATGAACGCTGTGACACCCGGTTCAATAAAAGCAGCAGGACGGCGTCGTAATGAGACGAAAACGAGCTCCAACGCGGTTCTTTTTTGTTCTAATGTTGTGGTGTTATCACGGTCACAAGCAGAATGGTGGAGGTGGGACGTTGTGCAGCCGCACAGAGGCCGAGATGTTCTTTCTTCGCTCTCGTCCTAAACTCCTGCCAAAGCAATTAGCCTCCTTGTTTACCCACGGCCGACCTAAGACGATCGGACATTGAGATTCTCCGATAACGTCTTGGATATCGGACCGTTCCCCCCTTCGGCCGATATCTGTGTACATAATCAGAACACGTTGGCGGAATCAATTACAAAAAAATAAATATCTGTGCCTGAGTGTCAGGGTTTGTTTGGTCGACAAGATTCCTGGAATTAGACGGAGTCTGATCCAGATGTGAGAAGGTCAGAGATGTTTAAAGAACAGTGTTTGAAGAATTTATACCATTGTCACATTCAGTAAAAAGTACAAACACATTCACAACATATATTCCATATAAATAATTAGAACAGTTTCGATCTCGGAGTCTTGAGTGGAAATCTAAGAAGGTGCGGTTGTGAAAACAGACTCGTGCAGCGTGGAGAGCGCACGACGTATTTCTGCCGTAAAATCATAAAGATCTGACTTCAATCAGAACCAGACGCATCTCTTCATGTTAAAGCCACGTTTGTTTTTCCAGCCATCCGCTCTACGTTTACTGACGCATGCCAGGGACGGAGTGCAACTCTGGTATATGCAAGTTTGCATTTATACGTGGTTGTGTGTGTGTGTGTGTGCGTGTGTGTGTGTGTGTGTGTGTGTGTGTGTGTGTGTGCGTGATATTTTCATAACTTTCTGCCCCGAGCCTGCACTAATTGCAAATTTCCTCCTGCCTTTAAAAAACACTTTTTCCACACTGTTCAAATTTTCCACCTATTTATGATGGAGCCTGACTTTGTTTACACACCGGGGCCGTGATTATAAATCACTTATTTTACTTTTATTTGATTATTTTTCAGACATCACATAAAGATAATTTGTTTCAGGATCTTCATTGATTCATTAGCTTTGCTGCCGATCCTCTGAGGGTCACACGGAGGCCAGAGTCAATCCCAGCTGACACCGGGAGAGAGGAGGAGTAAAACCCTGGACAGGATCACAATCAGATAACTGACGTGTAAAAGCAAACAACCACTCACACTCACACTCACAGGAGATTTACATAACGTGTCTGGTTTTTGAACTTTGTTGGGAAGCTACAGAATCTTTTATTTCCTCAGGCTGGTGTGAGGTTGTTGATTGAATTCCTTGACCAGTAAATGTTGTAGTTTCATCTGTGACACTTGAAGAGATCATTTAAACTGACAGCAAATTAAAAAAAGCAAATCAGACTTGTAGTTTTGAGAGTTTGTGTTAAAACCTCTGCTCGTATGTGACAAACTGATTCCACGGAGAAACACTCACGTCTCACGGGTGAATGGAGTCCAGCTCTGAAGGTAGGCGACCGTTCTCCTGAACAAAACAACACAGCGTCAGTGAACGTGTCCTCAGATTACCATCACGTCAAATGTTCGTTCAGCAGGAGGCTGGAATTCAGGATATTTTCACACAGGTTTCGAAAATAGAAAGTTGTTTCATATTATTTACTGCAAACATTTTGAAGAGAACATTGGAAAATAAAGAAATATTGAATTGTTGTAAACATCTTATTCTCATGTGAGTAAAACATTTCCACTCACATTTCCACACTCCCCTTTAACAAATGTAAATATTTTGTGTGTTTTGAAATGTACGTGTCGGGATTTGATGTAAAGAAACAAAACTATTTGAATTTTAAAGTTGTATTTGATGACACGGCTGTCATTTATATCACATGTGAGTTTCTCAGTCTAGGCCTGGTACAAACCTTTACATTAAATAAAGTTTCTGTACACCAGGGTCTGTTTCTCTTCCACTTGAAGAGGACCCCTCTGCTCATCGTCTGTTTTTAGCTGGGATCAATATTCATCCCCCACTTCTGTGGAATTAAATGAGCAGAGCTCGTCAAAACCTTTTCATTGCCACAAGCAACATTCACCGAAGAACTCGGGCATCAAATACACATCAGTGGGTATTATGATGGGAAGCTTGCATGAGAATTTAAACCCTAAATTTAAAAAGCATTATATAACTTAGCATCAGAGAGAATTCATCAAGTCGACTGTCGCTGGTGACTTTTTGACCTGGTCTGAACAACACACTCCGACTTACCTCCCGAATAAAATAAGGCAGAAGGAAAACAATATTTAATTTTCCGTTATGGAAAATGAAATATCTTCCAACCGATTACGCTGGGAAATGTGGTGATCTGACAAATACACCAGGGACCCGTCCCTCGGAAATCCCCGCGATGATCTTTAAATTATTCTGATCTCGTTATATGAAACGAGTGGTGGAGCCACCACACACCGTCAGGACGACATTTAATAAAGAGGCAGCTTCTTTCAAATTGAACATACAACGTTCATCTTTACTACGTGCAGCAGTTACAGGCTGAAAAGAACAAAAGGGCTCAAATCTACACACGATGGAATAATTAATAACCAATTGCATAATCAGCACTTACATGACAGAAATCTGGTCAAAGCTGATGTGAGAAAAAAATAGAAATAACATTCTGGCAGAAATTGGAATTAAAATAATCCTCGTGATGCTGTTTTTCTTTCAGCTGCAACGTGACACCTCACCACTAGATGTCGCTACATTCTACACACTGAGCCGCTAATATAACAAACGTTATGTTGCTCCACGAGCCGAGTACGAGCACCGTGCACAGCGACCTTTGTTTCCACCGTTAAACAGCAACGGTGGATTTGAACACGCACTCAGGTGTAATACACACCATGTGGTCCTGGGCGTCGTCTTGTGTGTGCTCTCCCTCCTCCTCTTCCTCCTCGTCCTCTTCTTCTTCCTCCTTCTCCTCCTCCTCCTCCTCAGCTTCGCTGTTCTGTCTCTGCTCCTCGTCCTCGTCATCCAGCTCTGAGCTCGACTCCTCCCCTTCCTGCCACGCCTCCTCGTGTTTACACTGGTCGGCCTTCCGCCGTTCTGCATCAGAATAAACAGACAGAAACACGAAACCGCCACAGATCAAGATGAGACTTGATCCACACACCAGCAACATCCACTTGTTCCTTCATAAGGATATAATAAGACTGAACATCAGAATACATTGAATGCAAAATGCAGAATATATATATATATATATAATATACACGGATTTGAAGCATGGCTCGAGATCTTTAATAATGTGTGTGATGAAAAAAGAATGAAGCAGATAACTGGTGCATTTAAGACACTGCGTTCCTCTTGTGGACTCTTCACCTGCGGGCGAGCAGAGCCTGATAGAAACTAGAAAAAGAAACCAGAAGCTTCTTGCTCTTCTGTCGGTAGAGTTCTCTGTCTGTCTCACTTTGGTTTTAACTACGAGGTTATCAACTCTGTCAGAGATTCCATCATCAGGTTCTGTTCTTAATCTGTCGAGGAGCCTCACCCACGTCTTCACACCTTTATGTGGCTACCAGTAGCCAACTCTTTAACTTTGGAACAACTCCTGTTGTTTATGTGCAGCACAAATACAGTTGTCTGACAGAACACAGTTTAATAACCCGTCTCGGGTCACGTCGCTGAGCTGCGGACTCGTGCGTACAATGCCCTCATTGTTGGTTTGTGTACTGCGCCGCTTCATCGGCAGCGCCAGCTCTACGCTGTGTGCCGTTGCACTCATGAAGATATGCCGCGGCTTATGGGATCAGTCTGTGAATCAAACGTGCAGAGAACCATGAGAAGCTCATTATATCATTTGGCAAGTGTGCGGCTGCTGTAAGACCCACATGAGCTCACGCAGTAGTGCGTCTCCTGCGCGCTATGTATTTATACTGCGTCTTTACATTCCTATGAAAACACTTTACTTTACACTAAGGCAACAAACCGGTGATTTGCAGCTCATCTGTAGACGGCAGCTTCTCAGTGCACTGAACCTCACAGTGGCTGATGGGATCACAAGCTGCCAAGATTCCTCTCATCTCTGGGTGGGATCATTTCAGAGTTATACTCGTGGTGGACAGTAGAGGCGCTAGAGGACGAGGAGTCAACGTACTTAATGAAGAACTTTTTATGTTCGTGGACAATTATAAAGAAAATGATATTAATTGGACAAAAGCTGATTTCAGAGTATTTGTCAGTTTACGTCTGTATCTTCTTGTTTTGTCGTCTTGAGCTGGAATGATAAAGTTTTGGTTTGTATTAAATTGGATTGTATTTTACCATCCGACTCCAGGAGAAGAATCTTTTCACTGTTGAACCTACATTTACAAAAATGCTCGTCATGTTTTTGAAACTTCTCCACTCCTGCTTAATCCAGGAACACAACTGAGCTATTGACGTAGCATTAAACACATTAGCTAAACGTCGCTGATCGACAACACAGGACATTTAGCTGGCTGCTTCAAAACGCATGCATCACATGGATTCTGGGATTTCTGTAGAAGTTTTTTCATCATGCATGGGACCTGATTTATTATCTAAATGAAGATATTTCTAAGTAACTGTTTCATTTATATAAAAAAAAAACCCTGCTGAGGCTGCAGACACAATGAATAAGTCTCAGCATCCGTCCACATACACGTTTGTAAGTGTGTCACGTGAGTCACCTGTGGCGGTGATGTGTGTGTCTTCTGTGATCTGCTCCAGTCTGCCCAGCAAAGCTTCGATGTTGGTTTTAATCTGAGTCAACTCTGACTTGATCGCCTGAAGCTCTGTACCTCTCACTGCTGGTAGAGAGACATAGACAAAGAGGGAGAGAGAGAGAGAGAGAGAGAGAGAGAGAGAGAGAGAGATAGAAATGAGAAAAGTTAGTGTTCATGCTCTGGTTGGTAATAAGTGTTCAGAAAGTAGATTGAATTGAGCTGTTGGTTCAGTATCATGCTGGAAACGTTACATGATTTTGAAACACTGGTCATGTGATTCTCCGCGGGTCACAGAGGGGTCGGACCGTGACATCAGCAGCAACCTGCCTGAACCTCTGATTGAAAATGGAGACGGCCCGACTTTTGCTTGGGGAATCTGCCCGTGACATCTCTGACAGTTGTTAGTTATTCAAGGTGAAAGCAACACCAGAGAAAATGTCTTGGAATGAAAAAACGTCAGGGTTCTTTCTTTGGGGATCCATCAATTTTCACGAGCGCCTGAAACAAAACACACTGAGAAAGTGGATCAGAGTCTTGTTTGTCTCTTTATATGGCGGAAGGATTACTACGCTCAAAATAATGGCAGGTTATTTTAACTTCATTACGCAGAAACATCTGTAGATTTATGTTTTAATTAGTCGATTTTCCCTCGTTATTAACTATTTATTAATAATGAAATTGAAGATGCAGTGTTTTGTGAATGCAATGCAATTGCAATGTCCACTTTCAAATTTAATCCACGAGCAACCGTTTTAATGATATTAACTCTTCGAAATTAACTTCAATGTTTATTTATTTATTTTTATTTAGTTGCTTGTGTTGGAAACCTGATTCTGCAGTATAATTACTTCATTTTATGTCCTACTGAAATATTCTATTTATATTGTTTGCCCTCTAATAAAAAACAATGACGGCTCACAGGTTTCTGGAGCAAACGACAGAAGAAGAGAAAGAGAGACAGAGGGGAGGATTCAAGGAGGGACAGACAGAGAGATGAGTACATCTCTAGTAGCAGCAGAAAACAACTGGAGTCATGCAACACATCTGGTGGTTGTTCTTGTTTCACCACAATAAACTCACGATTACTACCATATTTCACCGACTGTGAGTGAGCGTGGGGTTGTTGCTCAATGCTCATCCACCACTCCTCCCTCCCTCCCTCCCTCCCTCCCTCCCTCTCTGTCTTCTGTGCTTCGTCCATTATTTCTTGTCTTGCTCCCAATTTTTTCCTTTCCTTTCTCTGCCCTCTCTATCTAGTCGACTTCCCTTCTCTCTTTCTGTCCTACACCTTCGCCTCCTCTTCTATCGTCTACCCCCATTTCTTGATCTCCCTCCCGTCTAATTGTTTTCTTTCCCGTCTCTTACTCGCACACTCTTACTCATCTGCACGTCTCTACTGTCAATAGAAATGTCTTCACACACAAGCCAAGCTGAGAGAAATCTGTCTCGGTCCTCAGATGCACTAAAACTATCTCCGCTTCACTCGTGTTTTAAAGTCAGATCTTTCAATACTCAACCCCACAACCTCAAAGTGCCAGATTTGCAGAGTCTGACAAGATCCACAGCTACCGATGCGCAAGCAGCTGCAGACAATATATTTTCTAAAGAGCTTTGTTTTAGTAGAAAACCGTCTCGTGTTGTTCAAGGCTGAGAATTCTTCAGGCTTGAAATCTGCAGAAAAGAAAACGTTCACTCTGAAATCCCACATTTCTTGAAATAAAACGCTGCCACCTCAACATAAGTCCCCTTTGATAAACCTGTCGATTCTGATATAAACTAAATTTCGGAATCCTCCGTTTACTTTAAGTGGAAATTGATTGGCATTATAGAGAAGAGGTGGCCATCCCTCTTTGCCTCACTCTTCTCTTCCTCTCACACAAACACACGGACCGTCCCTCAAGCAGTCAAATGAATCGTCTGCAGCACCATCCGGAAAGATTTTACCATCCGTGGCTAGATTCGACATACAGTCGGCAGATAACACTTTTGCTGCGTATATTCATCAAACGTTCTCTGCTGCAGACGGTTCATCTGCTGCACCCACATCTGACTGATCAGCTGCTGCAGTTCATCGTCCAGAGAAACTCTGAGATATTCAAAACAAGTGCGGTCGCCTGCTGCACAAACACTCAGCGTAATTAATAGACACACTTAATCTACGTGTAAATTAATGTGAAGTTTATTTACCCACTAAACCAATAATGTTCGTAATATAAGTCCTGCAGGTTTTAAATATGTTGCCAGCGAGGCTGCGTGTGCATCAGTATATGATAATAACTGTTCAGCGTGAGCATCCACAAAGTCTGGATATATGGCGCTAACATTGGATTGGCGCCTGAGAAGATCCAGGTCCTGTCTGAGGGGTTAATGGATATCAGATGTTTCTTCAGCTCGTTGGACCGGATTTCAAAAGGTTACCTTTCTATCAGAATTTTGCAATATGTTGCATCTAAAGCGGCATCCTCTGGATCCAATAAAAGTCAGATGCTATAAAACACTTGTGGTAACACTTGATTCTCTCTGAAGTTAAAAGCTATAATAAGAGGACGAGGAGAAAAAGGGCACGAGGGAAGTATTTAACTATCGATGTTTGACAACTTAAACTACTCTCCTCCACGTTTTATTGCACCTCCCTGACAGTATCACTGAGCTGAGGTCTGCGGGGACTCGGTGAAATAAGCCAGTCTGAGAGGCCTTACATTTGATCACCGTAAAGTTTTATAGAAATCCACATCATTTGAAAATATTGTCCGAGCAGGAGATAGGTTGAACTAATCTCGTGTCGGGATCCTCTCACAGTTCGAACGATAACTTCATTTCTCTTTTTTCCTGTGCATATAAAGGTTTGTGTGATTAAAGTTGATAGTGAGATAAAAGTTAACATTAAATTGCTGCATTTAAATAATTCTACTAATAAGAAAATCATTGTTTCTTGCTTTAATTCCCTTTAAAGAAGTTTCTTCTGGCTGTAAATAAAAACGGAAGATGCAACTCATCTTCTTCCCACTGTCCAGAAATGCAGCCAAAATATCCCGGACGTGATCCAGACCAGGAACGTGGTGCGAGGAGAAATATCATCACTTCTGTCTCAGCCTCTGACAGACAATCTTTATTATCACGTTATTATTCGAGGCAGAACGTTTAATGCATTTGAACCAAGAATGAAAACTGTCAGTATCTATTCTGCATTTTAAACGTATAGAGACAAGAGGAGAGAAGAGAAACTTTGCAGATCTTTGAGTCCAATTTCCTCAAACGCACTGTGACAACAGATTAGCGAGACACACGCTCTAATAAAAAAATATCAGAGCAGTCACTGCTCATTTCGACAGCAGGAGCAGAGTTAAGAACCTGGGGTCTGTCAGTCAACAGGAGCTCAGGATCCCACTGGGTTTCCTTGACACCGAATCTCTGGCAGCTCTGGAATTACTGCATTTTCTCTTCAGCTCTGACTTCTGACCTCTGAATGGTCCCTGCAGAGGGAGCAGCGAGAGATAGGAGGATGCCTCTGCACTCTGAGCTCCTCTCGTGAAATGGAAAACACTGACGTTCACGTCACGTCTGATTCCCACCAGTAAGACTTGTGAGATCCCAACTGAATCCATTCATCTGAAGAAATGTCTCTCTCTCTCTCTCTCTCTCTCTCTCTCTGTGCTGAGTTGGATCCCGTCATGGTCGCGACAGGAAATGGACTGAACTTAACGTCAAAGTACTTTTTTCGATTTCATCATCGACCTCGGAGCCACACCGAACCAGGGATCACACAAAACGTCCAATTAATCAGGAGAATGTCTGAGCACTTGGGTCGAGACATTTTCCAGACTTGACATTTCACAGATGAAGGACGCAGCGGCAGCTCGTCCGAGTCGGACACAACAACAGAGAATTGACCGAAGCGCTCAGGACGTATAAATTCTTTCCAGGTTGACGTCTTCGTTGGCGTCTCCCACGTGCACGGCTCCTCTTCTCCGCTCAGATGTTTGAATTCATTTTACTTAAGCTTTTTGTCTGTTGAAGAAAACTTCATGGACACGCCCACTCTGTGAATCTTTCCACACTTGGACATCGTCTAGACGTTTTTTTAATCGGGGGGAAAATCGTCCCAGATTTTTGGAGCAACTGATATTTGTGTTCTCAGCCCCTCTGGATAATTTCAGGAGAACACGCAGTGCATGTCTGAAAGCAGCTTTAATGAATGAGCTGCTCTGAGCCACAGTCAGTTTTGATTTTCATTCATTTAATTTGCAGCCTGATTTAGTAACGTCTGTGCACAGCTGGAATCCTGAACGACTCCACCTGAGAGTCATAAAAAAATCATGGGAGTCGGACGGCAGGAGATCTGGTAATAAAATAATCAGCAGACAGATGAGGACGATGGTTTCACACCAACATCAGACACGTCAAGGTCCCACTGCATTCTGGGTATCCTTGTTCGTCGAACTCTAATCTACGAGTTGTCCGCAGACATGAAGCTGTTCCTGTCAAATATTTATCTGAGACTCATATTGTACTGGTTGATTTTCATTGAAGACGAACAATAATTATTGTATTTGTACGATGATTAGATTATTTTGTGGAGCTTAGAATCATCAGCTGTAATCTAGATAATATGCATCACGCTGTGTTTGCACAACTCGTCTCACGGGACGTCTTGTCAGCCAGTTGCTCTTGTGTACAAATACTTTAAACGCTGACGCGTTTTTCTGTCATGTTACAAACTGTTTCTTCTCATCAAGGCTGTAAATACTGTTGTTGTTGTGCTTCTGTCCGTCCTGGGATCCTCACGTGTGACTCTCTCTGAGCTTTCTACGTTTTATTTTTCCTGTTAAAAAGGTTTTTGGGTAGTTTTACTCTTGTTGAGGGTGAAGAACAGAGGGAGTCGCACTTTGTTCTGGTCTATGAGACAAATCGTGATTTGTGAAATCGGGGCTATACAAGTAAAATTTGATCGGTTGATTGATGTTTAGCCTTTTTAACTTTGCACACATTTTACAATTGTACAGCTTTATAACACACTAGAGGAAAGAAACACTGAAAACAAGTCTTTCACGAAAATCGTTGGAAGAACATTAAGTGAAAAGTAGGTTTTCTTGTGTTAAAAGCTACACAAAGGGATAATTTGCCTGTTTTTTCTCCTGATATTTGAATCAATGAATCACTGGAAGACTGAAAAGTAAAATAAAACTCTGAACTGCTTGTGTCTGGTGCCGGTTGACAACCAGGTGAAACAAAATCCTCTGTAAAGTGGATTTGATGGTTTCAGTGGTTCGGAACAAATGTAATAAAGTTGCCCGCAGGGTTGAGGAACTGTCACTGGGAGCACGAGCCACTGCACATCGGCAAGATTTGTGGTTTCACACAAAGAGTTGAGGGGGAAAAAAAAAAAACCTGTCAGTCCTTTATTATGAACTTTCTAAAAAAAAGTGAGTGGAAAAGAAGAAACTCTTGTGTGTGTTTGATTTCTTTTCAAATCCATTTGTGATGCAACTTTGATGAGAACACGGAAAGACACTCAAACATGAAAACTGCTTTGTGAGGGAAATAAAAAAAAACAAAGCTGCCGTTCGGAGAGAAAAGGTCGAAGTGGAACGTGAGAAGAGCTGACGCAGCGACAGCGTCTCTCCTCAGATCCACAATCTGAACATGATGCCGGATGAATGTTTAATGAGCAGGATGCAAAAATAAAGTGACAACGGTCGACCCGCTGCTTGAACCTTCCACCGACGTGTAAAAACATGAGAGCTGGAGGAACATGAAGGTTTGAGTCAGAGGTTCAAGAGGCGAGAACTCAACACGAGAGAGACGAGCCGGAGAAACTTTGACTTTCACAGGATTCACACAGACTCTCTCACTTCACATCGAGCATCACAACGTTTCCTGAAACTGAAAATGAAAAGAAAAGCATTTACTCTCATTAGATGGATGGATGGACAGAGAGATAGAGAGAGAAAGAGAGAGATGGGTAGATGGAGAGAGAGAGAAAGAGAGAGATGGGTAGATGGAGAGAGAGAGAAAGAGAGAGATGGGTAGATGGAGAGAGAGAGATAGAGAGAGAGATGGATAGATGCAAGGAGCGATGGTGAGATGGATAGATAGATAGATGGATGGATAGAGAGAGAAAGAGAGAGATGGATAGATAGATAGATAGATAGATGGATGGATGGATGGATGGACGGACGGACGGACGGACGGACGGAC